ATTTTCTTGCCGCCTTCCCAAGCAGTGCCTGGGAATCCCCTCTCCTACTAGATCAAGATCTCACAACCAATCTGAGATTTCTCCTCCCATCCCACTCCCAGGTTTGGCCATGGGAGGCAGGGCAAAGGGATGATCTCCTCAGGGACACACAGTATCAACACACTCCCTTCTCCTTCTCTGATTCCCCTCTGCCTGCTCTGGGAGGTCTTTATTTCTGGGGGAGGAGGTCTTTATTAAATCAGAGGAGGGTGAAAATTTGATCTCAACCCCAGATCCTCCTAAGTCTATGGTTCAAAGTCAACCACAGAGGCCGAAGCTTTTAAAACTCAAAATCACATACATAAAGAACAGACTAGTGGCTGCCAAGGAGGAGAGGGTTGGGGGAAGGACAGGGTGGGAGGTTGGGGTTAACAGATGTAAGCTTCTACACAGGATGGACAAACAACAAAGTCCTACTGTATAGCACAGAGAACCATAATCAATATCCTATGATAAACCATAATGGGAAAGCATGTTTATAAAAAGAATATACATATATATGCATATCTGAATCACTTTGCTGCTCAGCAGAAATTAACACAACATTTTAAATCAACTATACTTTAAAGAAAAAGCTCAAAATCCAAGACTTCTGTTTTTATCCTTGAATACCTTAATTTTCCAAAAGTAAAAAGTGCCAGAGAATTCACAGAAATACTGGGAATGACACCTGTTGCTGCATGCTATTGAATAAAGGCTGAAACCTTTCACATCACCGTTCATACTCATAACGTGAGGCTCAGACAATAATGTTCCAGAAAAATACATCTTATCTACCTATTCATGTGTATGTAATTAATGATGAATTTGTTAATCAAATATTTAATGAAACACCTATAAAACACTGTATTTTTTGAGGTTTCTCCAAAGAAACAGAACTAACAAGATGTGTATGTATGTATATATACAGAGAGAGATTTATTTTAAGGAATTACTTCACATAATTGTGGAGGCTACCAAATCCAAAATCTGCAGAGTAGGCCAAGAGGTCAGAGAGTCAATAAACAGTAGGTGCTGCAGTTCAAGTATGAAAACCATCTACTGGTGGAATTTCCACCTCATCCAGGGTTGTCAATCTGTTTATATTAAGGCTTTCAAGTCATTGGAAGGGCCCACCCCCATTATAGAGGGTCCTCTGCTTTATAAGACTATTGATTCAAATGTTAATCCCATCTGGGAAAAAAAAGAAAGAAACAAAACCCACAAAATCTTCAAAGACACTTCTAAAAATGTGTTCAATCAAATATTTGGGCACTGTGGCCAATCTGACACATAAAATTAATTAATCATCACATCACCTGCTCAGTTGCTTCTCACTGAGGTTGTAACAGAAAAGACAAACATGGTCCCCAGCCCTATGATATTTTCTCAAAAATTCATTAATTCAACAGTTCCCCAATGCAGACAAACTCAAACTCAAGTGCAAAAGACTGAAACCAGATCCTCTTCAAATAGCAAATATTGATAAGGAAGAAAAAGAGGTAAAGACGTCTCTGGGTGCCAGAAGCAAGAAAGGGATTCTGTTACCCTTGAAGATGAGCTTTAAATCATCCACAGCTTTACTGGGGTCATTTCTACTCACTCGCTCCCTCAACTAAGTAAGTCTCCCAGGAGTGGGTAGTCCTCCTTTACCATTTGCGGATAGGAGTAGTCTGGAGAGGCTTCATAGAGGAGTGATGTTTAAGCTAAATGTTCAGTAACAGTCAGAGAAGCCAATCTGGGGAGGCATAAAGTGCTCCCTAAGCCTAGGGCACAGAGAAGAGTGGCCCGGCACAGGCACAAAAGAGGTAAAAAGTATATATGGGACCTTGCTTCAGATGCACACTTGAACTTAGAGTGAGAAACCATGGAAAACATTCAGCTGGAAGGAAATGAGATCACACAGAACTTTAGAGAGATCACACTGGCCAAGAGTCCTGGGGATGGATTACAGCAGGCCAAGACTGGAGTCAGAGACCATTAGTGGATGATTAAACAGTCCTGGAGAGAGACGAGGAGGGCCTGAAAGTGACCCTGGAGAGGAAGGAACAAGGTTGGGAGGTCCACGGGGTTAGAATAAAAAGAGTTGAAGCCTTGTTGATTGTGGGGAAGAGAAAGAGAAAGGCAAAGAGGGAGAAACTCGGTTTGGACGGTGTCATACCCTGAGAGAGGAAACCAAAGAGCAGGTACAGGAAGAAAGAAGAAGTCTAATTTGGAGTGGGAGCCTCCAGAAGTCCTTTCCAAGTGGATCACAGGCCTGGCCAAGGAGAAATATAATCAGGACCACCACAGAGAGGTGTTTCCACCCTGCAGGCCTGCATCACACAAACCCAGGATTCTTCTACAATCCACCATCAGACTTCCTGTCATTCTGTATATGGTGGATTAAGAAATAATTGGATTACATGTCATCATCTAATTCATAGCTGACAGTTTTATATTATTCAAATTAATGCTTAACACAACTTTATGTATCAGTTCTTCTATTATCATCCTTTTTTTTTTGTTGTTCAGTCACTAAGTTGTGTCCAACTCTTTGTAACCCCATGGACTGCAGCACACCAGGCTTCCCTGTCCTTCATTTTCTCCCAGAGCTTGCTCAAACTCATGTCCATTGAGTCAGTGATGCCATCCAACCATCTCATTTTCTGTTGCCCCCTTCTCCTCCTGCCCTCAATCTTTCCCAGCATCAGGGTCTTACCCAATGAGTCAGCTCTTTGCATCAGGTAGCCAAAGTATTGGAGCTTCAGCTTCAGCATCAGTCGTTCTCATGTATATTCAGGGTTGATTTCCTTTAGGATTGACTGATTTGATCTCCTTGTGGTCCAATGGCTCTCAAGGGTCTTCTCCAACACCACATTTCAAAAGCATCTACAGAGAGACTAAGTAACTTTCCCCAGTGATATCTGGCTAAAAATCAGTAGAGTCAGGAACTGAACCTTGGTAAATATTTGAGCTGATTCATAGCCATAAGATCAGGGCCAGGAGAAAGCAACTACTCAGACTTGGTCTAAGCCATATTTTATTTTTATACAGTGAAACTACTGAATAATTTAAGGATCTCTTGCCTTCTTCCACAAAGTAATGCCAGTATAAAGCTCATCTGGTTCATAATTCATTTTCCAGATGTGAGATGTGATTTATACCGTTTTCCTTTTGCTGTCACTTTCCTTAGTGTTATAGTAGAAACTGAAAGAGTACTTTCTTTAGTTCATGAGGACACTGTGACCTCCTGCCCTTTTAAGCCAAAATGTTTGCCTGTCTTTATGAGCAGAAGTAAAATCATTGCTCTTTTCTGGGCCCCTGGTGGCCCTGTGGTTAAGAATCCATCTTGCAAGGCAGGGGATATAGGTTCGATCCCTGGTCTGGGAAGATCCCACATGCCTTGAGCAACTAAGCCCATGTGCCACAAGGACTAAGCCCGAGTGCCCAAAGCCCATGCTCCGCAGCAAGAGAAGCCTGCTTGCCGCAACAAAGAGCAGCGCCTGCCGCAACCAGAGAAAGCCCGGCTACAGCAACAAAGACCCAGTGCAGCCCAAAATAAATAAATTAATTTTTTAAAAATGCGTTGTTCTTTCCTCTGTTACATGCACACTGACAGGACTCACTGGATGTATTGCACACGCAACATTTTAAATCTCTTACTTTCCCCTCTGCTTCGGAAAGACTACTGCTTGGTAAAGGTAGTCTTTCTCCTCCCTCTGGATGAAAACCTAGGCAGTCTCCTTGACATTTCCACTCATTTTTAGCTAATAAAAGTTCCTAAAGCCACTTTAAATGCAAACCCATCCTCAGGTGAAGAAGTGAAAATGTCCAGTACAATATATTAATAATATCTCCAATCCTTATTGAAAGATTTGCCTTCTCTTCCTGAAAATGAACACATGGTCTTTTCTACTCCTTCCTAAACTGGTATTTCTGCTTCTCCTTGAGCTTGATCTCTTTGATTGACAGAGTCAAATCAAGGAAAGAGGAGTGGAAGCCCTCCCCAAACTGCTGACAACCCTCTATTTCTCCCAACACTTACACTCTCTACAAGTACCTATAACAATGTATGTATCATTCTAACTCTCATACAGCCTTACATCCTCAGTACACAGTAGTTCTCAAGAAAAATTTGTTAAATGAATGAATGAATAAATAAAAGAGGACTTCTCTGGTGGTCCAGTGGTTAAGACTCCATCTTCCAATGCAGAGGATGTGTGTTCAATCCCTGGTTGGGGAACTAATATCCCACATGCTACAAGGTATGACCAAATAAATTAAAAAAAAAAAAAATGAAAAAAAAGCAATGGAGGAAATTACATATACAAAGCATGAAGTTCTTTTAAAAGTAAATTATATTGGCTATACTCCAATAAAATATAAAAAGCTAAACATAAAAAAAAAAAGCTAAACAAAAACCCACATAATACACAACTCAAGGACTGGACCCTAATGTAAACTATGGATTTTAGTTAATAAAAATATATCAATATCGACTAATCAAGTATTTTTAAAAAAAAAGTAAAGATGAAACTTCCTTCACAACTTTCCAGCACCCTAGATTATCATGAGTAAGCCAATTGCTAAGTATGGTTTAAAGACCTGGAGGTAACTATGGTACAAAAAAGCAAAAGCATTACTTGGTTTCTTCTAAGGAATGAAACCAAGAGTAAGAACAGATGAGTCACGGATCTATTAGTTTTCTTTAAAAGCCTTCTGATACTTGACTTCTAAATATGTATATCTTAATAAAAATTAAAATATTTAAAAGCAAAGATTAGTCAGTTTTAAACCTCCTGTACTCAAAAGCAGCCTGAAAGTATGTTTGACCTCACAGGCTTCAGTAGTTGGTTTTTTTGAGTGTGTGTGTGTGTGTGTGTGTGCCCTAAGTCCTGATTACCAAAGAGTTGTTGACCCAAAGCCAGGTAGACAAACAAACAGAGCCGTGGACTTTAAGAAGGCAGGTCCAGCGGATTGAGACCAGTTAAGCAGGCGTACTGAGTGGTGTGGCAGCCGTAAAGAGACTCAGTAAATCAATTAACTCCATGGTTTTCATGAAGGCCTCTTCATATCAAAACTTCTCTATTTATATGCATCTCCTCTGATCCTGTGGCAATGAAGATTGACATCCACACTCACATTCTACCAAGAGAGTGGCCAGATCTAAAGAAGGTAATGGTGATTAATTTGCTGAATTATTTCTAGAGCTTCTCCTAGAATTATTTCTAGGGTTTCTCAATGCCTCTGTTACAGAATGATGTCTTCTTTTGGGAATTAGATGTTAAATTTCTCTGCTTTAGGGAGTTTTTAAGTTATCTGGTAGCTCTTATTTCCTAGTTTTTTAAACTGATTTCATATTTACATTGAAAGAAACTTGATTTTAAAAGTAAAGAAAAATCCCTTTTCCCCTCAAATGAAGCATTCTTTAAAACTTCTGGACCATATAAGTCAAGCAGTTTTACTTCCATTTAAGTCACATATTCAGCTGCTAGGAAGATAGGTGCCACTTACAGAATTTAAAGTTACAGTTTCAAGTAAGAAACTATTAAAAACTAAATGTGATAGGTTCCCAGGACTTCTAAAATATATTTCCTTCCCAAGATGTTGAAAATAAGTTTTGGAAGCACCAAATGATAGCTTTGTAGAATTTTTTAAATCTATTTTAAAACACTGTCTAAAACCTTTCCTTTTTGATTTTTAAGCTATAAATTCTTGTTACGAACTAGAGAGTAGGAACATCAAGAAAAAAAAAAATAGAGGAAATGACATGAAACCTTTGCACAGTGAATGTCTCTCAAGACTTTTCTCTGTGTTTCTCAATAGATGGCAATTTCCTTTTGCCACTAAAAACTTCTAAATGAATACTAAAAAAGAAAGTGGAGAACATGAAAGAAATTTAAAATTGGTTTGAGTTTTACTCAGGCTAAGTATCAGATTTTACCCATTCAGCCTTCTCTAGTACTTTTACATGACTCATAATGTTTCATCTATTTTTATCCCAAGTGAAGAAAAGTGAATGAACCCAAACTCTAATTAAAATGTGGCTTCACTGTTTCATTGTGCAGACAGAAGAAACTATTTTCTTCTCATAGTTGTCTCCTGGGAGAATGGTCATCTGAAGTGTTTCTTTGTCCATTGGTATTTTAGGTAAGACGGATAGTGAACATTGTAGATCAAAAAACACAAGTGATGCTAAATCATCTTTGAAGGTTTTCCTATTACAGTTAATGGTCAGAACTAACCCTATTGGCTCAGGGGTAAAGAACTTGCCTGCCAATGCAGCAGATACACGTTCGATCCCTGGGTCAGGAAGATCCTCTGGAGAAGGAAATGGCAACCCACTGTAGTATTCTCACCTGGGAACTCCCATGGACAGAGGAGCCTGGTGGGCTACAATCCATGGGGTCGCAAAAGAGTTGGACATGACTTAGTGACTAAACAAGAACCCTATTGAACTAACCCCTCCAAAAGGAGCCTAAGGGCCTACATGGGAACTTGCTGTTCTGAATGCTGTTGTCTTCGTTATATTTTATTATTAAAGTGTAGACATCACTTCACAATGTTAGTGATGAACAATCGTAGTAGCCTAAAAGGATACCTCCTTTTTGCTGAGGGGAGAAAACTCTCTACCTAGTATCCCACGTCATAACCCCACCTCCCATGACCTGCCTCCCACCAGAAGACTGCCTCCAGTTTCAGTAGAGAACTGGTCACCAAGAGCTGCAAATATCTAGGTGTCCCACCTAATGCAGGGCCCTGAAGGCACTGCCAAAACTGCTCCGGAAGCTCCAGGATGCAGAGCATGAAGAGGCTATAACCACAAATGCATGCACTGTAGGCTCCCCACACACAAGTTCCACTGGCTCTTTATGTTATGCCTTCCTATCTTCTAGTTATGCCTCAGAAGAGGGGAGGGGCATTCTATACCCATAAACCAGGATTTTACCTAGCAGTCTCACATCCTGCAAGCAGATAACTGATACACTTTAAAAAAAGTTACTGAAGTATAGTTGATTTACAATGTTACATTAATCTCTTCTATACAGTAAAGTGACTCAGTTATACATATATATGCTTTTTCATATTCTTTTCCACTACAGTCTATCACAGGATACTGAATACAGTTCCCTGCGCTATACAGTAGGACCTTGTTGTTTATCCATCCTGTACATGACAGTTTATCGCTGCTGATCCCAAACTCCCAATCCTTCCCTTCCCTACCTCCCCACCCCCTTGGCAACTACAAGTCTGTCCTCTGTGACTCTCTTCTTGTTGTGATAATTGATAAGTGTGATGATGATGGTGGTGGTAGTCATAGTAATCATTAACACTCTTACACTTCCAGAGAGCAACAGAGACATGTAATTTGATTCACATAACATCTTGTGAATTGCAGATAGGATTTCTATCATTAACCTGACTGGACAGATGAGGTCACTGAGACTTAGAAATGAGCCTAGAATCCCAGAGCTTCATGGGGCTGTGACGGCCGCTCCATAGCTCTTCATCCATACCCACCCACCCTCAGAGAGCTGGCCCAGGACTGCATTACTGCTAGTGGGATGTCCCTGCTTCCCTCTGCCCCCTCTGCCCCCCGCCCAAGGTCACCCTTGACACCAGTCCCCTTCCCAATTCCCCACACTCACATAAACCACTGAGGGCTTCCTCACAGTAGGTGATCTGTTATGCGGTAGGTGTTCCCATTGGAATGTAGGCAAGTTAGTCATGAAACAATTTGCAGAAAACAGTTTCTGTATTTTCAAACTGGGAAGAGTGAGCTCAAAACATCTAAATCGTCCTGGGATCCTTCTCTCTCCCTATTTCCAGTCCATATGATCAACTATATCATCAGTCTATATGAATATTAAAGTGATATGAGTGAATAGCAGATATGCCTTGGTGTTCATAGAGTTCAACAGTTCTAGCAGATTTTCCTTTGTCTTCAAATAGTTTCTTAGTAGGTAAAATGTTATTTCAGAGCATCAATCTCTGGTCTTTTCTTAGCATTTTTTTCAAGCTTTCCAATAAAGAATGAAAAAAACAAGCGAGCCCTAGTTTCATTTTAGAAGATGAAGCCCCTCTGGAAGAACTGATATCTCTTTTCAAATCTGCCTTGTCTTGTTAAATATTAATAGACATGCTTCAAATACCTTGACCTCCTTAGTCAGTGAAGAAATAGAAAAGCAGAATCAAATGCTTGGCTTGACGATTAACCAATGATTACAAAGGACTGATCGAGAACTTTTTTCATTTTCACTTGCTAATAATGAGTGTAGTCAGAGTTAGAGTTAAGATCCTTGGAGGGGGGTGTGGGTGGAATCAGCGGTGGAGAGGAAGCAGATTCAGGAGGGTGCACTTGATTAAATTGTTCCTGATGAATCAGGGACCACAATCTGGCCCAAAAAACCTGTGTAAAAGTTATTTGGGGTTGATTTACAATGATAATATTTATAACAACAAGAAGGATAATAAGATTTCAGGTCTTTCCTTCAGCAAGGTTTTACTGCCCACCTCCTATGTGCCTGAGAGTAGGGCTTGCGAAGATTCTTTTAGTTTTAAAAGGGCCTTTATTTAAAAATTACATATTTACATCTGCTTTCATTAGTAATTATTCAATTGCACTCAATCACTATAACATTTTTAGGAGAGAAAATCCCAGACAAAACTTGACTTTTAAACATCTCCTCTGAGAAAATAGAGATCTGGTTTCATCACCTGGGAATTCATTATTCACATCATGAGTGTGAGGTCCCCAAGACATTAAAAATGTCATTCAGTTCACCAGCCTCTGATTCATATCTAGCCACTTCAGAAACACAACTCTGGTATATAGGACTTAATTTCCTTGAATTTTTAGTATTTTTTTTTAATTTGTCATGGCCATAAATGCCTATGGGACACTGTTCAAAGTCGAACATTTTCAGATGGTAAATGCCTCCTTGTCATTTGCTCTGACAAAAACTACCCCCAAGGTCATAAATTTCAACTTTAGCCTCTTTCAACCTAGGATGAGACTTGGGGGATTGTGTGCAGCCCATATTTGGAACAGAATAAAGTTTCCCCAAGTAGTTTAGGCCTTTGTAAAGTTCAGGGGAAGTATAAAGTGTTCCAAAGCGTTCCAAGTGCTTTCCAAGGCAGAGAAGGGAGGGACATAGAGTGACAAAGGGTTCCTTCTTTCTCTCCTTAGTGGAGAGTATGCCTTATTTCAAAACCTCAGGATGGAACAGGCTGTCACCACCAGGCCAGCCCCACTGCCATTATTGCCTGTCACCACTGCCATCATCATCATTGGTGCCACCACTGCTACCAAACTCACTACCACAACCATCACCACTGCTGCGTCATAGCCTCCAGTACCGCCACGACTGCCATGGCTACCACCACCACCTCTGCCTCCCCCTGCCATCACCACCGTCACCATCATTATCTATGTCACCATCGTTATCACTGTTAGCATCGGTGAGGCCCTTTCTATACACCAGGTCGGGTGTCGATAGCTTTCTCTGAATTGTTCCAGTTACTTCCCATAAAACCTTATGTCACTATGACCCAGCAATACCACTTCTAGGCATACACACTACATGGCTAATTCATTTCAATGTATGACAAAAACCACTGCAATGTTGTAAAGTAATTAGCCTCCAACTAATAAAAATAAATGGAAGAAAAAAAAAACCTTATGTCACTAAGACTACCGTTAGCCTCCTTTAACACCTAAGAAAACAGTGACTTCAAGATGGTAAGGTGCTCCAAGAAAGTAAAGGATCTTGTAAGAGGAATGTTGTATGTGTGACAAGATCCCTCCATTCTTCCTCTGCCTGCCTCTCTGCCCTTCCCCAATGCAATGTTTCCCTCATCTGTGAACTAACAGGTTAACATTCCACAGGGAATGAAGAAAAAGTGAGAGAGTGAGGAAGGAGGGAAAAAAGGAAGGAAAGAAAGAAGGAAATAAAACCTTTTCTTTCACATTAAAGTAAGTTTTCAATGGCAAATTTCCAGTTCAACAGTGTATTTAAGTTTACTCTAAAGCGTAACTGACTGAGGCCATTCCAGCCCTTCCTCCAACCCCTTCTGGGCAGCTTTTATCCGGGGAAGAGAGAAGTAAAACACAAGGGGACCGAATGCACGAAGAGGGTGGGAATGCATCACAAAGGAAAAACTGGGTGCAAGGAGACATGCAAGGGGTCCAAGGTAGACAGGTGCCCTTGTATGCCCAGCCTACTAAGCCAGGCCCTCCGGTGTCACTTGGGGAGCAGCAGGTAGATTTCCAGAGCTAATGTGATTATTTGGAGCTAAAATTCAAGAACAGACCTTCTACCCAGGTAGAAAAAAGTTGGTAGAGAACTGACCAAATCTGAAGTCTACTGGAGAAGAATCCAGGGACAGACTCAGAAACACACGAATGCCTCTGTGCTTCAAGCCCAGACCTCCCCTCTCAGTCTGGAGGTGAGAGGGAAGCCAGGAAGGAAGAGATCTGTCAAAACCTGGCTCCCTCTACACAACCTCCCTGAGCCGTGACATAAGAGCCAAACTACCATCACCTGGTTCTCATCCAACCACAGCAAGCTAGGAGTCGTTGTGGAGTTCATTAACTACCCATTTTTGCTGACAGGAGCTGTTGAATAAGCCCTTTACCTCATGGTCTCTGGCCTCCACGCCATCCCTCTGACCTCACTCTTTGAGAACCACTGCTTTAGAGCATGGAGATGCTGAACACTGGAGGTTATACTCCAATCCAAACCCAGATTCCCTTTCCAGGCTCCCTCCCATGACACTGCCTGACCCAGGTTGTGTGTTCGCATCCTCCTCCAGGTTCCCAGGGAACTTGTGTGTCACTCTGACACTTTAGGTCTCACACATGATAAGGCTCTTCAATTATCTGCCCAGCTCAGCCCAGCACTGGCCTCTCAAGACTGTGTTCCCTTCATTTTTATTTTCTCTGCCCTAGAAAGGCTGGTCAAGGTGGGACTCCATGAGGGTTTGACGAATGAATGAATGAACAAACAGAATGAGATTTTAAAACCTATCTTTAACATGAGTCATATATACCTATGTTCTTAGCAAAGTCTTTCAGATTTTTTTAATCAAGAACCCCCAGGAAAAAAATATATTTCATATTGTGACTCAGTACAAACATTCATACACATAATAGAAATAAGAGTTTCCAAAACTAATAGACATAGAAGGCATTCTATCCTATCCTATCCTATCTTATCCCATTCTATCCTACTTTATTCTATTCTATTTCATTATTTTCCATTGTTTTACTATCTAAGCTTGAGTCTTCCAAGAAGCAGACCTTGAGATAAGGGTTTAAATATAATTAGTTTACCTTGGAGGTGATCCCAGGAAACACCAATAGAGTGGGGAGATGAGACAGAGAAAGCAACATAGCCCATGAAAGTGTAAAACGTGTGCCTCACCTCAGAGCCACCCTGCCCAAGGGGCTGAGAAAACAGTGCATGCTGTTTATACACAAATGCCCTCAGTCATGATTGAGGGATCTGGGGATCCCTCTGACCTCACTCTTTGAGAACCACTGCTTTAGAGCATGGAGATGCTGAACACTGGAGGTTATACTCCAATCCAAACCCAGATTCCCTTTCCAGGCTCCCTCCCATGACACTGCCTGACCCAGGTTGTGTGTTCGCATCCTCCTCCAGGTTCCCAGGGAACTTGTGTGTCACTCTGACACTTTAGGTCTCACACATGATAAGGCTCTTCAATTATCTGCCCAGCTCAGCCCAGCACTGGCCTCTCAAGACTGTGTTCCCTTCATTTTTATTTTCTCTGCCCTAGAAAGGCTGGTCAAGGTGGGACTCCATGAGGGTTTGACGAATGAATGAATGAACAAACAGAATGAGATTTTAAAACCTATCTTTAACATGAGTCATATATACCTATGTTCTTAGCAAAGTCTTTCAGATTTTTTTATTCATGACCCCCCAGGAAAAAAATATATTTCATATTGTGACTCAGTACAAACATTCATACACATAATAGAAATAAGAGTTTCCAAAACTAATAGACATAGAAGGCATTCTATCCTATCCTATCCTATCTTATCCCATTCTATCCTACTTTATTCTATTCTATTTCATTATTTTCCATTGTTTTACTATCTAAGCTTGAGTCTTCCAAGAAGCAGACCTTGAGATAAGGGTTTAAATATAATTAGTTTACCTTGGAGGTGATCCCAGGAAACACCAATAGAGTGGGGAGATGAGACAGAGAAAGCAACATAGCCCATGAAAGTGTAAAACGTGTGCCTCACCTCAGAGCCACCCTGCCCAAGGGGCTGAGAAAACAGTGCATGCTGTTTATACACAAATGCCCTCAGTCATGATTGAGGGATCTGGGGGACAGGCAAGAAAGGGGTTACTAATTTCCTAGTATTTCTGATCCTCTAGAAGTTGGTTAGTCAAAGTTGGCTCCAATAGCAAAAGGGAAAATCTTGTCCAAAAAATGTGAGTGCTTTTGCTTGAAAGAGGGCTGGTGTTCACAGAAGCACTACAGGGAAGGAATATGGATGGGACACCAGTGGTGTCTGTTACACATACTATTTCATGTTTTTAGAACATCTGGGTTATTAACCACTAAATTGATTTCATGATTTACTCACGGATTGCATCCCACAGTTAATGTTCTAAGATGGTATTTCCTAAAGAGTGGTCCTTCCAGCCTGTACTGCTAATGGTCTGGAAAGGATTTTAGGTGGTACACAAGCAAATATTTTTTAATGTTCATCCTTATTCAGAAATTGAAGGGACTTCCCTGGAGTCTAGTGGTTAAGACTCCACACTTCTACTGCAGGGGGCACGGGTTTGATCTCTGATTGAGGAACTAAAATCCCACATGCCGCATAGCCAAAAAAATAAAATAATATGTACAAATGAAATAAAATTTTAAAAAATAAAACAAAATTTTAACATGCTGTAACATGCATTAGGAAAAAAAATAAAACTAGCACTTCTGTGATATAGAATTTTCTTCCTGAAAATTTCAGGAAAAAATAACCTGATTTGAATATAAACATGGAATAAGTGGTCATGGGCATGGGGAAGGAAATGGGAAGTTGTTTGAAAGGATGGCACTTGGATGCTCAGGCCCAGGGACTCCACTTTCTTGCAGTCCTCTCTGCTGTGGTCTTCTAGTCTGATTGTTCTCCCCCTTCCCCACAGAGATTCGGGTATGGAGGCTGGGTGCAGCTCCAACACCATGGCAAGGTGAGTGTCTCCCAAAGAACCACTGTGCCCCAGACCCCTGGATAAACTGAGTCTGAGACCTTCCTGCACTCGGTCCTCCAGGGACCCCCAACTCTTTTGCCCTCCAACTGAGCTTTATAGTAGGCAGCACTGAGGTTTCTCAAAAGTATTTCGAAAAATGGGTGTAACTTCAAAGAGCAGCATTTAGGAAGATAAAATTGATATTGGAGGAAAAAAGGAAGAAATCTCTCTTTCTCTCTCTCTCTCTTTTTCTTATTTTTTTGCCCTGGAACCAATTTTAGCATTGCTCTGCCTCAAGGAAGCAACCTGGCTCTCTCCACAGTTACGACAGTATATTAAGGCCGACCAAATAAATGGAACAGTTTAGGTTTGAGCACAGGTGGAGAAATTAAACATGGAAACAAAAGCAAGAAGAAGCCACTGTTATTAAGGGTTGAGTTTAGTCTGAGGAAAGAGCGAGAGGAGGAAGGCTTGGGGCAAAGCATTTAGTACACAATGAGGCCTGAGAGTGAGCTGCCAACCAGGGGTCTGGACCGACTTCATTTTCAGAGGCATCACATGCCCTCGTGGAGGACAGGGGGGACCCTCCTGAGCTTCCAGCAAAGCACAGACATGACTAAGTCAGCCCTGAAGGACTGGGGTATGGGAAGGCCACACGCAGGGGTAATTCAACGCACTGTGACCAGGTAAGGACCAGGTACTGGAGGATATCGATTTGGGCACCAAGGATTTGAGGAAGGCCTCCTGGAAGAAGTGATGCTCTTCCTGAGTCTGGAAGCAGAGGTGAAGGTTTGCCCAAGGAATAAAGGAAAAAAGAAAACAAAGACAGGGAGCGAAGGCATGGGGATATTAAACATCCGTAAGCCCAGAACTTAAGCACTTGGCTAGGGTGGGTATCGGCATTTCTCAAAGTATGGTCTGCAGACAAGCAAGTTCAGTGTTACCTGGGAACTTGGGATAAAGGCCAATTCTTGGGCCTCACCTCAGACCTACAAAATCAGGAATGCTGAGGATTGGGCCAGCAATCTGTATTTCGATAAGTCTCCAGGTGATTCTGATGTTCACTCAAGCTTGAAAACCACTGGCTCTATCCACTCACTCATTCACTGATTTTTACTGACACCTATTTGATGCCAGGTCCACCAGGCTAGACATGTGGAATATGCTGGTGAACAAGACAGACATGCTCCCTGCTCAAATTCTAGGGGCAGCAAACAAACATGATTGCTTCAGAGGATGGAATAGAAAGCAGTGCTGGAACAAGGGGTGACTAGGAGATTCATCTGGGCTGGCTGGTTGGGGAGCTAGCAAAGACTGAAGATGATGAGAAGGAAAACCCTGGAAGAGTGTCCCTGGATGAGGGAATAGCAGTTGCAAAGGCTGCCATGTGAGGAAGGGCTGTGTTCAAAGAACAAGGAGGAGGACAGTTTGGCTGAGATGTGGTGCAAGGGGGAGATGGCAGGAAAAGAGGCGGGCAGGGACCAGATCATGGACAGACTTGAAGCACGTACTAAGGAGGCCAGATTTCAGTCTCAATGCAATGCAAATTCCTTGAAAGGTCTTAACGGCTTAAACAGGTCCGCTGCGGACTTCCCTGGTGGTCCAGAAGTTAAGACTCTGCACTTCCAATATAGGGAGTGCAGGTTCGATCCCTGGTCAGGGAACTAAGATCCCTCATGCCATGCAGCATGGCCAAAAAAAGAAAAGCATTAAAAGGCCACCTAGTGTACTCTGTAGGGGTCAGACAGAGGCATGTAAGAGTTTGGGGGGCAAGGTGGTAGGAAGAAGCTGGAGAGGCAGGCAGAAGCCTCATCAGGTGGGGCCTCAGGGGATGGGCTTAGGCCTTTGTACTTGATCCTGAAGGCAGTGAGGAATCATTAAAGAGTTTTTTTAAACATCAGAATCTCTGGGGCAGCTCATTTTCACCTTCATCAAAGACTGCCCACTAAGAGCCAGTTTAGACACCAGACTGCACTTCTCCCATGAAAAGTGCCAGTTCCCAGCCTGGGAGCTGGTGATCTAAGCTGGCCTCCTGTGCTCAGTCATCAAGTCACATCCAGCTCTTTGCAGCCCAATAGACTGTAGCCCACTAGTCTCCTCTGTCCGTGGGATTTTCCAGGCAAGAATACTGGAGTGGGTTTTCATTTCTTCCTCCAGGGGATCTTCTTAACTTAGGGATTGAACCTGTGTCTCCAGCATCTCCTACATTGGCAGGTGGATTCTTTACCACTGAGCTACCCAGGAAGCCCTAAACTGGCTCTCAAGTCTGCCCAAAAGAGAAAATAAGCTGAGTGGAGATGATGACAAGGCCACTAGGAAGCCCCAAGTGGAGGATGAGCAGCCTGTCATTTTTTTTTTTACTCCATGTCCCAGGCTGCAGTTTCTACCCTTTATAATGAGATCTGAATGGCCTTCGGTTCTGTGTCAAGAGAAGTTTGGTAAACATAACAGCAAATCTCAAAACAAAAACAAAACAAAAAAACCTCAAACAAACAAGAAACCCAAGAATGAAAATATTTCAAATCAAATCTACTACTTGCATAGTTCCAGCAAAATTGGATATAACAGTAGTCTAATCAAAGTGATATTCTTTCCTCCATTTCAAAAGCAAAACAAAGGAAACCAAAGCAGAACTAAATTGTTTTTTTTTTTTTATAATGACAGTGGTCAGGGATCACAGTCACCGGAAAACAACATATAAATACAAACAGATTGCAAATTCAGCTTAGAGCAATTCCTTTTTATTTACCTACATTTCTTTTGTGAATAATATTTTTTGTCCCCCATCCATGACTGATTTACCTCAGGGGTTCCTATTTCCTGAAAGGTATTTCCCAAACACATCTTTGGTCTGCCCTATTTGTTTCTCTTCTTAACCTTTGATTTTTCAGTGCTTTTGGAATCAATCAAGGGGTATTACTTGCCATGGTAAAGCCTTGTTCAGAACTGAAAAACATCATTTGTCCTTTGGTTGACTATGTATAATTTGGTTGAAAATTTATAAAACTACATACGCCCTCCTCTCAGCAGAAGCATGGGGTAGGGTAGAATTAAGGGCTGATGGCAGGAACACCCTGCAGCATTTAAGGGAGGCCAGATCCACGGCCCAGTTCAAGTACATGGGCCATCAATGTCTGAGCGTTTTTCAGGCCCTCGAAATGCAAACACACATTGCCATCACACTTAGTATTTTCACCCACACTATTCTGTGTGATCTTCAATCATCAGGTTCCTACTCTCAAAATGATTTCCCTCTCACTGGGGAGCCAAGAAGACACTCAAATGAATAAAGAACATACAGATGGTGACAGTATTGTGTTGAGCAAAAGAGTGAGGGAACTCAAGGGGTGGGAAGGGCAAGGCAGCGGGCAAATTTCATGAAGATAAAAAACCATAGGACTGTAGGCCTAGGGATCATCTAGTCCAGTGTTTAATGGGTTGCAACCCAACAATGAGTAATAATATCAATTCAGTGGGTTAGAACAGCTTTAAATATAAAATACATTACAAAAGAAAATAGCAGAATGTATTATTCATGGTGAGGGTAAGTGTTGTTTTATGAAACTTTGTCTCAAGTTTGTATCTTTATAAATAGATATATACAGATGTACTAGGTCACAATGGAAAATATATTCCTTATAATGTGGGGTTCTCAGCCAAAATCGACTGAAAGCCATTCATTTTGCCCAATGTCCTCATTTCATGTTTTTATTTTTAAGGTTAATTTTCCATTATGTAAGTAGAATCTGAGTAAATTCTCCTTCTTAAATTTAACCTGTTGAAGATAAAGCTACAGTTTCATTGGATCAGCATTCCCCATCCTCAAAAGTAATTCCTATTAACAGTTTGGTGGGTATCTTTCCAGACATTTTCCTATGATTTTACTTATATATACATGCACCTATATAAAAGGATGTAGGATTATTTAATATGTTTATGTACATATTTTTTAGCTAAGTCAATCAGGTTCCAAACAGAAAACAAACAAAATACTTAGGATATTTTGAACGGAGTTAACAAAGAGCCTATTTATAAAGGTGTAGACACATGATTAAGTTGTGGGGACAAGCAGGGGTTAGATGATGAAGCCCCTTAGGTCAGGTTAAGGGGTTTGCATTTTATCTTCAGGAAAATAGAAATCCATTCAAGAGTTTTCAGTGTGGACCTAGCAAGATCTAATTTAGGGTTTTAAGAGTTCACTCTGCTGCTTTGTGGAGACTGGGTTAGAGAGGAGCAAGAATGAAAGCAGAAAGAAATCAGGCTGGAGGCTGGAGCATCATTCAGATCAGAGAAGATAAGTCTTGGACCAAGGCTGGCGCAGTGGAGATGGAGAAATGTGGATGACTGCAGGGTCTATTTTGGAGACGTATTGGGAAATGGATGGGATGGTGACATGTCAAGCAGAGGGAAGTGAAAAAATGATGTGGTCTCAGAGGGGTGAGAAAGATAATGCTGACATCAAGGAAAGATGCAACAGAGCCAGGAGGACAAGCAGATCTGAGCAAGAGATGAGCAGTAGCAGGTTGAGTGAATACTGCTGGAAGTGGTTGTAACATAGCTTCCCATGGAGCTGTCCTTCAGAAACTTTGAAGTGACAGCTGCCGTGATTACAGAGGCTGCTTCCTGGCGAGAGTGTCTGGGTCATTTCTGCCAGCTCTGCACCTCAAGCCCAACCAGTCTAGCAGCTTGCATGGTCTAGAGGTAGAGCTTGAGTGGGCACCTGGGGAAGGGGGAAGAGAATGGGAATCTGTTGATAAAATACTGAATTTAAAATACATATTTTTTCCCCCTGTGCTATTACTTTCCTTCTTGCCCACTGATTCTACATGTAATAGCTTGAATCTACTAAACCCAAACTCCCAGGCCATCCCTCCTCCATCATCCTCTCCCTGGGCAGCCACAGCCTGATCTCTGTGTTTTTAGTCTGTTTCTGTTTCATAGGTAGGTTCGTTTGTGCCAAATTTTAGATTCCACATATAAATGATATTATATGGTATTTCTCTCTCTCTTTCTTACTTTACCAAAATGATAATCTCTAGTTGAATGCATGCTACTGCAAATGGCATTATCTCATTCTTTTTATGACAGAGTAGTATTTCATTGTACTCCATCTTCTTTACCCATTCATCTGTCAATGAACATTTAGGCTGTTTCCATGTCTTGGCTATTGTGGATAGTGCTGCTATGAACAAAGGGGTGCTTGTATCTTTTTGAATTGAAGTTTTGTCTGGGTATGTGCCCAGGAGTGGGATTGCTGGATAACATGGTCATTCTATAAAATACACTTTTTAGTGATACACAATACCAGATATTTGAAATATCTGCTATATTTGGACTCATTTGTAGACAGTATTAAAACTAGAACTTAAGAATCAGAAGCGTCACAGGTGAGGTTCTGAGGTTCCTTGGGAATCAGACTCTGAGATGGAGATGAGCATGTGGAAGGTTTAATAGGAAATGCTCTCAGAATGGACATCAGTGGAAAGGAGGGGGAAAAAGGGGGAAAGGAGGAAGAAGGATAAAACAGGGCAATGTTGAGCTGTGATGTTCTCGACAGAGGTCTGAGCTGACACTATAAGAAGCTCTAGAGCTAACCTCCACAGGGATCCCAAGTTAGGGGTGGGAGGCAAAGAAGAGGGGCCTTTTGCCTCCACAGTCATCAGTCATTGGAAATGGGCTGCCCTGGAAATGAGGCAGGACTTTGAGGGAAGTGGTTCTCTTCACCCAAGGCAATCTTCCTATTTTCCCCAGAGGGACTGACAACTGAGAGCTGTCTGCCAGCAATACTCCCTGGCAATTCTCAGAAACTAGGAGAAGAAATCCTCTTTTTTTTTTTGGCCATGTTGCACAACTTGAGAGATCTTAGTTCCCTGACCAGGGACTGAACCCAGACACCCCCACCCCCAGTGAAAACACAGAGTCCTAGCCACTGGACCACCAGGGAACTCCCAACTCCTCTATTCTTGAAGGGGGATCTTGGTGACACATTATACCATCTTGGGAAGGATAACTGAATCACGTTGCTGTATAGTAGAAATTAATAAACACTGCAAATAAAATATATTTCAATAAAATACATTTTTAAATAATAAAATACTAATATCTACAAAAATAGTAGGCTTATGGAACCTCTGCCCAGTCAACTCAAGTACTCTGTTCTTCATCTCCATGGATGGGAATTTGTGCCTTAATTTCTTCCTTTTCTCAATCTTTCCAATCTCCATGCCTATGACCTAAATTTTAGTGGTATATTATTAACTTGTCTTTTTTCCTCAACTGTATATCCTTTTTTTTTCCAACTGTATATCCTTAAAGTTTTTACATCAGTCAGAGAAAGTAAAGTAGGTGCTAAATTAACATGTTTTATAATGAAAAAAAAGAGCAAACTGGGGTTCAGAGATGTTTAACTTGCTCATGGCTACACAATAAGTTGCAGAATAATGCTTTGAACCTGAGCAGTCTGATTTTAGGGACCTGATCAGAACTTTTCCCTTTCTTTAGCGATCAGCAACCCAAAGCTCAATTTAGAGCCTACTGTCATGATTTGAGGAGCGATTTAGTTTGGCCCCCCTGCCCTGAATATTAAAAGGTAGTGATCAAGGCAGGCACAACGCCTGGGAGAAGCAGCAGCTCAGTACCGAACCTCACATGCACTTCTAGACTGAGTCACTGCATGGCCTGCCTCCCCCTGCACGTGTGGACATCAGCGGGCCCTGCTCTGCCAGACAAATTATTTCCTCTCGCTATCCATCTGTTGCTTCTTTATAAAACAAGAAGTTGAGGCTTCCCTAGTGGTCCAGTGGTCAAGAATCCACCTGCCAATGCCACGGACATGGGTTCAACCCCTGGTCTGGGAAGATCCTACACGCCATGGAGCAACTAAGTCCATGTGCCACAACTACTGAGCCTGCACGCCTAGAGCCTATGCTCTGCAACAAGAGAGGCCACTGCAATAAGAAGAGTAACTCCCACTCGCTGCAACTAGAGAGAACCTGAGTGCAGCAACAAAGACCCAATACAGCCAAAAATAAATAAATGAATAAATAATCTCTAAAAAAAAACAGGGTTGGACAACACGGCCTATCTCAGAGGTCCTTACCAGTTCTAAAATGTTATAAATCTAGTTTTCCAGATCCTGGGCCATCCTCTCAGCTCTTGGAGCCAGCAGTTCAGAATGGCAAGGTAGCCTACACAGTCCTCAGTTGTATAGTCCCAAAAGGTCATGACCATGACCTGGTTCTCTGTATCCAGCCTCTAACAACCACAGAGCACACCCCTTCAAATCCAAGTCAATACTAAGGCAGGGGGAAAACAAGTTGAGTTCTGCTAAACAAACAGACTTGTACTTCTTCAAGGATTAAGGGAAAATGCCTAACAAGATTAGGGGAGAACCACATTCCAAAGCATACAAGGAGGAATTCATCTAAGTAAGCTTGTGTGTATGTTAGTCGCTCAGTCATGTCCAACTCTTGGCAATCCCATGGACTGTAGCCCACCATGCTTCTCTGTCCATGGGATTCTCCAGGCAAGAATACTGGAGTGGATTACCGTTCCCTTCTCCAGCTAAGTAAGCTTAGGTCACCTTTTGCTGATGTGAGTTTCCTGTCCTAGGGAGAAGCAAAGATGCTGAAAGATGGGAAGGTCTTCAGAGTAATCCAAGAGAACTGCTGGGATCCAGAAGCTCGTCTTAGAGAAATGGACCAAACAGGTATTTACAATGAGAAAAAGTATCAATGTTTGCATCTTATGTTAGAGGCAAGTCTGCCCTTTGATTGCCTTACATGATTTATATGACGGCAACCTCTGATCCCATTTTCTCCACTGTTCCAGCTTCACTGGGGGAGGGATGGTACCCTCCACTATACTGTTTTTAGAATGTGGATTTAAAATTTAGGTATGTGTGTGCTCAGTTGTGTTTGACTCTTTGAGACCAAATGTTTGCATCTTATGTTAGAGGCAAGTCTGCCCTTTGACTGCCTTACATGATTTATATGATGGCAACCTCTGATCCCATTTTCTCCACTGTTCCAGCTTCACTGGGGGAGGGATGGTACCCTCCACTATACTGTTTTTAGAGTGTGGATTTAAAATTTAGGTATGTGTGTGCTCAGTTGTGTTTGACTCTTTGAGACCGCATGGACTGTAGCCCACCAGGCTCTCCTGTCCACGGGATTTCCCAGGCAAGAATATTGGAGGGGACAGCCATTTCCTTCTCCAGAGGAATCTTCCCAACCCAGGGATTGAACCCAGGTCTCCAGCATTGCAGTCAGATTCTTTACCATCTGAGCCACTGGGGAAGCCCCCAAATTAGGTACACTTATTTTAAAGTAGAATGCTGTGTTACTGGGGCTTTCTAGGTGGCACTGGTGCTAAAGAACCCTCTTGCACAATACAGGAGACATAAGAAACTCAGGTTCAATCCTGGGTCGGGAAGATCCCCTGGAGGCAGGCATGGCAACCTATTACAGTATTCTTGCCTGGAAAATCCCATGGACAGAGGAGCCTAGAGGGCTACCATCCACACGGTCGCAAAGAGTCAGACACGACTGAAGCAACATAGCACACACGCACGCATGCTGTATTATCAAAAAGATAAAAGTAGGACTTTATTCTTTTAAACATTTTAAATTCAAATGCATAGTATTTACTTATAGAGCCAATTAAAACAGTGAGAATTAGGGATTTCCCTGGTGAGCCAGTGGTTAGGACTCTGGGTTTCCACCGCAGGGGTCCTGGGTTCCATCCCTGGTCAGGGAATTAAGATCCCACACGATAAAGCATGGCCAAACAAACAGACAAACAAAAACAGTAAAAATTAGAACTCACAGATTAAAGACACCAACTGCTTTCTTAGTTAGAGTCAGGATCCGATTTGTTTCTGCAGTTTGCTTCAGCACAGTACACAGAACATCCCCACTGACACACACATGGGGTGGCAGCAGGAGCAGCTCCAAAAAAGTAATCACAGAGTCCCACTATACTCTACAATAAAACCAGTCCAAACACTTGAAAGGGGAGAGTTAGGACATTTTTGTTTCCTGGCTAAATCAGTAACAATTTCTAAGAACTGCTTGCATTCCTTATCCTATATTTAAAAATCAAACAAGTCCCCCCAGTTTAAAAGAATTGTGAAAGCCTATCTAAAATATGATGGACAGGGATGAAAAATAAATAAAACTTAATTTTTAAAACACGGTGTGACAGCCACATTGTGCTTTCACTTGTTATCACCTGGCTGGCTGTGCCACCAAGGAGAGCGTGCTCCAACAAGAGCACCCAGCCTTCCGGACACCCACAGGTCACGCTCAGGGGCTGTGATGAGGAACCCCCACAATAACACTGGCAGGCCTAACTTTTAACATCAGTGGTCTAGATTTAATGCAGAAAACAAAAGGTTCATACACACAAACAAACGAGTTTGGATCTACCACCTTTATAACCAAAGACAAATGCATGAGAAGTTCAAATACATACACAGAGATAGCAGGAGACATTTTATTCTAAGGTCTGCACAAATTGAGTTGAATTATCAGCCCCAAAATGTGCACGCTGTCTCTGGCAACTCTAAGCTGGATGGGCTTCCCTGGTGGCGTGAGCGGTAAAGAACCCATCTGCCAGTGCAGGAGACATAAGAGATCCCTGGGTTGGGAAGATCCCCTGGAGGAGGGCATGGCAACCCACTCCAGTATTCTTCCCTGGAGAATCTCATGGACAGGGGAGCTTGGCAGGCTACAGTCCATTGCGTTGCAAAGAGTGGGACACAACTAAGCAACTCAGCATGCACACACACACCCACGCACTCTAGGCCAGATATTGCTTTACAGATTTTTTTAAATAACTAAAAGTATGTCTAAATTGCATTCACATTGAACTTTGTAGAAAGCCTGAAGCACCTCTATAGGCCATTCTAGAGAAAATGGTACATATGCCCCTGTTCCAGAAGAGGGATGGGAGGGGCGCTGGAGAGAGAACTGGCTTCCCAGACTGAGAGCAGAGCCCAAGCTGAACCAGAGCTCCCACCTCTCAAAGGGAAAACTAGTGGAAATGATGACTAGTGTCAGAACCATTGTTCAAGACTGAAGTTTAGATAAAGAATGTCCCCTTTGGTTTTGGCTGTGTGTTTCATTCCATGGCTCTCCTTAAGAGAACAGTCATGGCTATCCCTTGCTGAGCATTTAGTTTGTTTCCAGGCATTGTTCTCAGCACCCGACATGTATTAACTCGATTTCTATAACAACCACAGGAGGTAGCAACTATTATTATGCCCATTTTACAGATGAAGAAACTTAGGGACAGAGGTTAAGCAATCTGTCCAAGATTACATAACTTATAGGGGGCAAAACAGGGATTTGAACCCAGGCAGTCTGGCCACAAGGGCTTAACAGTGTATCCCTCTGCCTCTCTGAGGTAAGAAAATAAAATGATAAAGGCACAACACAGAAGATTTCAGCATACTGTGCCATTTTCACAGGGAGACAAAAGTAATTGGGCTACTTCATCACATTATGTGGCAGGCATTGGTTGTACCTATTCCCACCTGAAGGATGCAAAGCATTTAAATGATTTGCTTGGGAAGACACAACAGTAAATGGTAGAGCTGGGACTGTACTTGGGACTCTCTCTCTCATTCCATCACTCTTCCAAGGGAGCTTTTCCAAAGCCTCCCTCAGGATAAGAATTGCCTGGGGTGCTTCTAGGAATTTTTTTCAGGCCCCATCCACTGAGTCAGAGTTTCTAAAGGAAGGCCTTTGAATTTGTTTTTATGATGTCACTTCTCTCCACCCCTGGCCTCTGCCCACTTTACTCAAGGTAAAGTGGTAAATTTGGGGAATGCTGTGCTATGCCAAACTTTTAAATACCTGTTTGTTTTTTTAAATATCAGCTCTAATTGGATTAGACTTGTTTTTTCACCTCTCAATTCCCAGAGACTAAAGAATAGGTATCCAAATAAACCAGCACATAAATAATGCAACTTACTATGTTAATATGAAATACAGTGACAAGTGATGGCCACTGGGGCGTAGGGAAGGAGCCAAGCTGGACAGGAGCCTCATCCCACCACTGGCAGGCCATGTGACCTTAGATCCAATCTATAAAACGGAGAAATCAAACAGAATAATGTAAACAAAAGCATTTGTGTAAAATGTGAAGATTTTACAGTTGAAAGGGACTTGTCTGTTGCATACTAATCAATGGACACAGATCCTATCTGTGGCGATGTTTAATGATGCTCTCTAATCAAAAGCTGTAGTGTCTAGTCCTCACTAAACAATGACTTATTTTTTCATATACGGATATGTTGAAAGTGCCAGGCACTATTCTAGACACTCACTAGGGATGGGACATAGACAGGCTCATGTGGTGTTTATGACCAAGTAAGGAATGGCATGGAATAAACAACTAACTACAGTCATGACAGACTGTAATAAGTAGCAGAAAATTAAGAGAACAGAACAGTGGGAGAGAGAATGCATGGAGTTAGGGAAAGCCTCTCCAAGGATCTGACGTTTGAACGGAGATCTTGGGGTGAAAAGGAGCACATCCTGTGATGAGCACAGGCAGAGAAGAGCATTCCAGGCAGATGGAATAGCCGTGCAAAGCCCCTGGGGCAGCAAAGAGCTCCAAAAACAGGCAGGAGGCGAATGACGCTCAGTGTGAGCAGGAGAGGCTGTGTGGAGTCTTATACCATGTTCAAGTCTGGACTTTACTCTAAGTGTGATTTTACTCTAAAAGTACTTGGAAGTTTTGAATAATAGAGTGACTTGATCTAAGTTTTAACACTTACTCTGGCTTCCAAGTGGAGAACAAACTGTAAGAGGACAAGAGTGATGGTAGGAGACCAGCTTGGAGGCTTCTGCAGCAGTCCCCATAGGAAATGCTGGTGGCTTGGACCAGGCAGTGGCAAGAGATGGGGAGAGGTGAGTGCCTAAAAGGAACTGGAGCAGAGCAAACAGGACTTGCTGTTGGGTTGGATGTGGGTTTGAGGGAAAGAGGGCCCATCCTTGGTTTGGCAGCATCTCTCCCAATACCCCAGCTCCAGGAGTGTGACTATCAGAGAATTTAGGCATCCTGGATGCTGGAATCTGGAACCACACTCAGGGCCTCATTCTGGGCATTCCAGATAGTGGGACTCTACCTAGACTCACTTAGGAGATGAATTACAGGGCCAGGAAGGTGATTGAGAAATATACTCTGTCATGCATGACCTAAGATGAAACACCTTAAAAAAAAAACTGATGGGGAAATGCCTTGCTTAAATACAACTTCACAGTTGTTGAAATAACTCTTGAAAAATGGGCATTTTAGTTTTTCTTCAATGATCTCATTTTCGTCCAGCCTTTCCTCCTCCTCTTAGAACTGAGGCTGTGGGATGAGGGAAGCCTAGGGCACAGACCCTGAGAGGAGACAGGGAAGACACAGTGAGGGAGGGGAGAGCAGAAGGAAGATGGGATGGAGACTTGCCAGGCTCCTCGGCCCTGGGAAATGCAGAGGTGCCTGGGTCATTCTTCTCACTGGCTTTGCCTTTGTGTCTGTGTCTAGGAGTGACTGTGCAAGCCCTTTCCACGGTTCCCGTCATGTTTAGCTACTGGGTGAGTGTGAAATCTCAATCCATCTCTTTGGTGAGCAAAGGCTCACATCCATTCCCTAGCAAGTAGACAGATGTCTCAAGTCTTAACATTGCCCACCCAACTCTCCTTTAGAGATCAGCAGGGCCCCTCACACTTGCACTATTCTCTCCCAGGCCTGTCTTCCTAGTAATGTCCTTGCTCTGGAACTCCAGTGTTCAGTATGGTAGCCAATAGCTGCATGTTTCTATGTAACTTGAATTGTATTTCCACCGGACAGCACAATTGTAGACTCAATCTTAATCTCCATCAGAACGACCTATTGACTCATTCCTGCCAAGTGAGGCTCAGTAACCAATAAGCCAGTTTATTCTAAAGTGATAAAGATTTTGAGGTGACAGGAGTGATGATGATGGCCTAATATGTTGCCTCTCCCATGGAAATACACACAATTCAAAACAGGATTCCTTGAGTTGGATGTCTTTCCCCAAGTGATTAAATCTTGAGTGCTAAAATTTTCAGGCATGATGGCAAGCCTGCAAAAGAACACTTTTGTAAGTAGTTGGAGGTACGCTAAGTACCTGCTCAGCTAAATAAATATTCAATCACGTGGCGATTGAAGGAGCATTGGAAATACCACCTATTCTCACCTCCTCCACCTATGTTCATAATTTCAGTATTAGTGATTCAATACTTATCTGTTCCTATGATGAAATTCACCACTTAAAATAAAAATACCATAAGACCTCAAGATACCTGAATTTACCTGATTGTGTGCTATTCTAACTGGACAACTGGCATTGCTGGAGAGTACCAAATTCTTAGCAGTGGGGTGGGATGATGTTGAAAAGACAGAAAGGAAGGAAGGAGAGTTAGGAGAACAGAAAGCAAACTTTGTCTGCATCATCATCTTGCTAATAAGGTAACTCTTTGAGTGTCACAGCCAACAGGAAGGACAAGGAGAAAGACAGGGATAGAAGAGGTTCGTGAGCAGCCTGACATCCCCAAGGAGATGTGACAAGAGGTGCCCTGATATCTGGCTCAGTTCCTGGTGTGGGTAGAGGGGAGCCCTGCAGGCTCCTATCTGTGTTGGTGGATGGTCTGCCTTCATTCTATGTCCAGTGTAGGATTCCAGGCCCTGATTACATCAGTTTTCTAATTAATCAGCAATGTGCTAGCAGTTTTCTTTACCTTGGTAATGACTGGCTTCTGGGTCTTCTGTGGCCAAGTGCCTATCTCAAACTGCTTCAGGTTTATGAGGTGTAAAGCCACTGGGCGGGACAAATGACTGAGCCTAGAGGAGGTGCTGAGCAGAGTAAATATCCATAGTAGGTTTTGAACCACGTGCTTTCCTTTGCCTGTCTCCACCAGGCCAAACCTCAGGACACTTTAGACCTGTGCCAGCTTCTGAACAACGACCTCGCTGCCACCATTGCGAGCCACCCCAGGAGGTTTGTGGGTCTGGGGACGTTGCCCATGCAGGCCCCTGAGCTGGCGGTTAAGGAGATGGAGCGCTGTGTGAAGAAGTTGGGCTTTCCCGGGGTTCAGATCGGCTCCCACATCAATGAGTGGGACCTGAATGCACCGGAACTCTTCCCAGTGTACGCGGTGAGTATGAGGTGCCACAACGTGGAGCGGGTACTGTGCTGGGTGTCCCTGGGTTGGAGAAATGCCTGATGACATGCTGGATACAGGGGAAATGTGGAAAGAGCTCCCCCACAGGATGGGCCATCCTACTAGAAAAGGGACAAGTGAAAATGCTTCCCAGGTCAGCCCTAAGTTAACTCAGTGAAATCTCTCTTCTTTTGAGCCCTCTTGCTCTCCTTTTAAAGTTTAATTTGGAATAAAATAGATAACCAACAAGGACCTACTATAAAGTACAAGGACCTCTGCTCAATATTCTGTAATAACCTAAATGGGGAAAGAATTTGAAAAAGAATAGATACATGTATATGTGTAAACAAGTCACTTTGCTATACACTTGAAACACAACATAGTTAATCAACTGTGCTCCAATATAAAATAAAAATTTTTTTAACTTTAAATAAAGAAGTTTCATTTGGAAGCCAAATTATTACCCACATCACAGCCACTGTGCAAAAGGATCAGGTTAATGACAAGCCCCAAAGTATTTACTTTTGCTTTGGAAAAAAATTCTTACCATTTTTCAAAATTATGAAGTAATCCAATTGTGGAAAATATAGAAAAGCATAAGGACAAAAATAACTACATAAAATAAAAAAAAGCAACAAGGATTTACTGTATAGCACAGGGAATTAAACCCAATACCTTGTAATAACACATAATGGAATATAATCTGCAAAAAAAGAAAAAAACCAAATCACTATGCTGTACATCTGAAACTAACACAATATTATGAATCAACTATATTTTAAATAAATAGGAAAACAAAAATAACCCATAATTCTGCCACCCAAAAATGATTAACCATGGTTAATAGTACATTTATCTTTTTATATGCATACATCTGCATATTTTATATTTTAATGGAATTGGAATTACACATTCTACTACCCATGTGATTTTATATTCTAATTGAGAATTTCTAACCTAAGTGAAAATTCTCTCAATGCGTGACTTAAAATAACTGCATAGTATTGCAATATGTCTTGTTTTATTTAACCGACTCTCAATTAAGATACTTTTTAAACCATATATTTTTTAAATGTAGTATAATAAAAATATGCAACAAAAATATACCATCACAATGTTAACATTTGATGATACGAGATGGTAAGCGTATAGCTGTTCATTGTACTATTGTTTATAACTTTCTATATTTGAAACACTGCATAATAAAATATATCTTCAAAAATGCAGTGCCAGCCATTTCTGAAATATCCAGCAGAAGAATCCACAATCCCACAGTCCTCTCTACTTCGGGAGGTTCTTTCTGTACCTAAATCTGCTTTCCTTAATTTCAGAATTCAAGATGCTTAATTCTTTATTCAATTGCATTTTTAAAAAATTTCTTACTTCCCTCCTGGAATTATAATAGTATCATTTTTGGTTATTTTCATTGTAAAAGCAAAATCTTCAGTAATGAATTAAGTAGATGTTGGTGGACCCATCAGGTACTACAATCACTGATCATTTATTTCATTTATTATTTATTGAGCTCTGACTGCATGCAGGATGTTTTCCATGTCTGTGTCTATGGACACTGCCCACCAGTTGGGGGACTGCCTGTTAAATCTCCTCCCAATAACCTGAAAGATTTAATGCTCCTCTAAATATTGAACTCCCAGAAGATTATTGGCTGCAGTGGCTGAACTGATCCAGTGACTGTTTTCTAGAAACTTTAATGAGCTCTGAAAAGAGGATTTATTTACTTGCGTATAAAATTGTTTCAGCACAGTGTGAGCAAGCCTTCAGCTATAAGTCATTTTATTATTCATTGGACTTGGCTTTATGAATTACTAAGGTGCTCAGAAAGCAACAGCAGCCAGTTGGGGTCCAAATAGATATTGTCATTTATGTGATCAGTTCAATTAATCATTCTAACTAGGCTGTTTTGGGGTCTGCCAGTCTCTGTGGGGATTCAAGAAAGCATCCTGGCCCCATTTGACTTGTGATGTCCTGGGGTTGACAGCACATTTGTTTGGTTAGCAAGACTTGCCAGCCTTACCACTAACTTGCTGAAACGAATGAGAGGAGTTTCTGTGAGCCAAACAAATGACAGGAGTTTCTGTCATTGAGAGGTCAGCCAGAGCTCCAGAGCACCTGATTGTCCCCCTAATCTCCTAGACCTTTGTTCTCATGTGAACCCAACCACAGGTTCACATCAGTTTTTAGGTATAAAGATGACTTTGTTTTATGAGGCAGAGTGGTAGTGGCAAACTGCCTACCATTTATTAGCCAGAAGACCTCAGTTACTTACTTAGCCTCTATCTGCCTTAGTTTCCCTGTATGTAAAATGGGAATAATAAAAAGTGTTCATCTCCTAAAGGATTAAACTAGTTAACAACTGCAAAATTGCTATATACAAAATACATACATATATGCATGTGTGCTAAGTCAAGTCAGTCATGTTCGACTCTATGCGACCCTATCGACTATAGCCCACCAGGCTCCTCTGTCCATGGGATTCTCCAGGCAAGAATACTGGAGTGGGCAGCCATTCCCTCCTCCAGGGGATATTCCCAACCCAGGGATCAAAGCCGCATCTCTTACGACTCCTGCCTTGGTGGGTTCTTTACCATTAACGCCACCTGGAAGCCTATATATAATATATATTATATATAAAATATACACACATATATATATATAACAGCTTTGGCACACGGTCAGTCAGTCAGTTCAGTTCCTCAGTCGTGTCCAACTCTTTGCGGCTCCATGAACCACAGCACGCCAGGCCTCCCTGTCCATCACCAACTCCCAGAGTCCACCCAAATCCATGTTCATCGANCTGAGGTTATTGATATTTCTCCCAGCAACCTTGATTCCATCTTGTGCTTCCTCCAGCCCAGTGTTTCTCATGATGTACTCTGCATATAAGTTAAATAAGCAGGGTGACAATATACAGCCTTGATGTACTCCTTTTCCTATTTGGAACCAGTCTGTTGTTTCATGTCCAGTTCTAACTGTTGCTTCCTGACCTGCATACAGATTTCTCAACAGGTGGTCTGGTATTCCCACCTCTTTCAGAATTTTCCACAGTTTATTGTGATCCTTTTGGCACATAGTAAGTGCTGAATAAATTTAGACTTATCACGATTTTGAGGGTGTAAGTGACTTATTTTTATATTATTTACAATGTGTCATATGCCAAAAGTGATCAAAAATATTTGTTAATTTTAATGGAATAGAAATGAACCATCACAGTTACACAGAATGAAGTTTTATCCTCATGAAGAGTGAAATCCCACCAAGATACCGTAAGCACGTGCCTTTATCAAGCACAAACCATCCCAAGAAGTTGATACTCTCCAGCCTGCATCCACTAGTAGAAACCAACTAGCTCCTCTCCCTTCAAAAGACTTGTATCTCTTCCACTCCCCAGACCCTGTTGAATTAGAAGTCCTTTCTTCAACCTACACTTTGCCTGCCACTTTCAGAATCACCTGTTGTCCCAGGACTATTTCTCCATTTTAAAAATGCTTATGCACACAAGTCACATTGCATCAGCCTGGTTGGCCCAAATGTTTATATGTAGATGTAGGATGAATCATCCCAGCACCTTAATACATTTGGAAAAGAAACGCTCTAAGGAAATTTGTTTTGACCAGTGGCAAGCCACTGATATTAAAAACCTGTTGAGAGGACTTTTTCTAATTAAACATTGTGTTAAGTAAAGGCCATGCCCTCCAGATGGTATCTCCAGTTCCCAAAAGGTCCTGGAGCAGTTTTGCTCATGACATTCTTTTCAGTACCTGCTTTGCTGCAGCACTGAGAGCGCTTCCCTTTTTCAAGTTGTCTCACTCACAGCAGCTCAGCTGTGATCCTGAGGCTTTGTGGGTGCATGGAGATCCCACAAATTCCCAGCTAATGTCAGACTTGGAGAGGCCAGATGATATAGGTCAGGCCAACTTGCTTCAGGACAGTCATGAGCCCCTGGCTCCCAGCCCATCACTTCCTCACTTTCCACATCATTGAGTTTCCAGGAGGGGCAGAGGAGGGAACACTTCAACTATGACTCCAATTATACAATCTGAGCAATCCTTCTGAAAAAGTGGACCAAATAGGAACCAGCAGGTGAAATTTCCTTGGCATTTGAGGTGTGGGATCAAACCTTGAGTGTTTTGCCAACGCTCTTTTTAATTCTAACCAACACCCTTGTTAATTCTAAGTGTTCCTTTTAGTTAGTTTTTCAATGATTCTGTTATATAGATCAGAAAAAACTTCAAAAATAGTTTACTTATTCAGATCAATATAGAACCAGAGAAAAGCAATACCCTAAAATAGTGCCCTATATTTGCTGGCTCATCCCAATAACCCCCTCACTCTCTGATTGCTTCTTTGAAGGAGGCTGAAAGGCTGAACTGTTCCCTATTTGTGCACCCCTGGGACATGCAGATGGATGGACGGATGGCCAAATACTGGTTCCCTTGGCTCATAGGTTCGTGTCAGCTTGTGATCTGGAAAAGAGCGTCAAGTCCTTGGTGTTTTCCAATTATCTATGGATACTATTATGTCAAAGAGAGAAAATATGAATAACTGACAGGATTGTGAGTTATTGAGTTCTTACTCCTGTATGTATTATCTCATTTAATTTTTTTAAATTGAAGTACAGTTGATTTATAATGTTCCAAGTGCACAGCAGACTGATTTAGTTAGGTTACTTCATTTAATTTTAATCGTATTCACACAAAACTTTATGAGGTTGACATTATAATAGCCTCTTTTTTTGGCCATGCCACATAGCTTGAGGGATCTTAGTTCCCCAACCAGGTATCAAACTCATGCTTCCTGTGGTTGAAACTCAGGATCTTAACCACTGAACAGCCAGGGAATTCCTAAAATATCTATTTTAAAGATGAAGAAACTGAGTCTCGAAGTGGTTAGGTAAGCTGTGCCAGTCACATAGTCAAAAAGCGAGAAAGCAAATCTGTCTGACTCCAAAGCTACCTCACTACACAGATTCCCAAAAAGTCTCTGAAAGAAAAAGCAGCCATGCCTATCTAATAGATTTTTTAGAAGCCAGTGATAGCATCAGCCTTTACAGATGAGAACCCTGGAACTGTGAGTAGGTCAACTTCCCCTATCGAAGGACCAGGTTTTCAAGTTCCCTGTTACCTGCTCTCCCCCACCTGCACTGTTCACCCATGGTTCCACCTGAGGATAAGAGGAGAGACCTCTACTAGGAAAAAGAGGCGAGATCTCTACTAGGCCTACCAGTCTCAGAATAAGAGTTGGTCTGTTCTCTTTCTGCCCTGACATTTTATGCCCCTGTTATTGCTTTTGGAGACCAATGAATTTAGTAAGGCAGCTTCCTCCCCACCCCCCACCAAATTCTTGAGCAGCAGTTAGAAGAGATAACCTAAGAAGCCCCAGCACTCTGCAGCTTCAAAGAAAATCTCTTCCCAATTCACACAACACACTTTGATAAGTCCCACAAACATACTTGTATTGCAGCTTCCCACAGGAAAAACAAAGGAGAGCATTTATACAGAGGATTATCTCATAACTTATTTTGCAACATAAATATATATTGATCCTTTCCAGCATGCCAGGCCCTGTACCTGGCACTAAGGATATACCAGGCATGGACAAAAACCTCTGCCCTTCTGAAGCCGGAGGTGACAAACAAGTTCACAGATCACAAACAAGCCGACTACTTTCAGTATTTTATTCGGGATGTAAAAGCAGTCTTTAACAGATTGGAGAATTCCCAGCAGGGGAAGGTCATGATCCAATTCACATTATAAATATTCCACTTTGGCTCCTATATGGACAATGTATGTGGGGTTACTGTCCATGTATGATGCTACTGGAAACTCTGCCCACAAAGAGATGCAGAGAGAGATCCAGAGAGAGATGAATACACCCTGCTTCCAGAATTCTCAAGAGGCTAAGGACTGAGGGAGCCAGAAGCCTCTCTGTCCATGGAATAGTGACAGACCTAAGGTGGGATGAGCAACCAGTAAAGCCCCATTTGGCAGCCAGAGAATCAGCTTCCCCAGAAGACCCAGAGCTCAGTCACAGAGCCCCAAGAGAGTTCTTTTTTTTTTTTTTAACATGAAACACGCTCTTTACTAATGATCCGATAGACTGTAGCCTAACAGGCTCCTCCGTCCATGGGATTTTCTAAGCAAGAACACTGGAGTGGGTTGCCATTTACTTCTCCACCCCAGAGAGTTCTTAATCACAGACTAAAAAACAGTCATCTGGAAATATTACCCAGATTGATTCCATGGAAGTGAAAGCATCAGGTGTGGACCAGCTGCCTCTTCTAGAAGCACAAATCACTTGAAATCATTCATTTTAATCCAGTTACTTTCAACCTCAGCTCTAAGGGGGCAGCAAAGATTTGGCAGGAATATTAATATTAGTTGATACTTTCTGAGTACTCACTAACTGGCAAGAACTAACCATTATGATCCCCATTTTACAGATGAGGAAAACTGAAACACAGGGAGGCAACTCATATTTGTTGAGCACCTATAATGTGAAGTTCTGGCCAAGAACTTTCGCAATATCATCTTTGCAAGGCCTTGCATAGACTTGCAAGATGGGCAGCACTGTCGCCATTTCACAGGTGAAGCAGCCCAGACTCAAGGGCATTATATCAGTTTCAAAGGCCAAGAAGCAAAATAATTGAAAGAAGAAGGGTTCAGCCTAGATTCACTGTACTCTACTTGACCCATTGAGTCCAAAATGAAAGCTGGAAGAGTCAGGACAAAAGCCAGGTCCTCTCGCTCCTTGACTGTTCTAGCCATTAGATGACTTCACTTGCAAGTGGCAAATAGGGACTGTCCCATGGTTTCCGCTTGCCAAAGTCATGGCCTGCATAAAACCAAGCATGCTGGGGCACAGGGAAACTGTTTCTCAGCACTGACAATTATAGAAGTTATAAAATATATGATGTTTCAAGGACCAAATTCCACTTTTGCAGACAAGTTTAGTTTGGCTGGCACAGTTTACTTGATTTTGCTTTGGTTTTTATTTAAATGTCTCTTGTTAGACCATAAGCTCTCCAGTTTGCAATAGTCTCTACCATTCACTATTGTTTAGAAACAGGCCTGTTTCATTCCTCTACATTTCCTGTTTGGTCCCTGTAGGTAAATGAGTTTGGAACTCTTGGTTACATTCACATGATATCCAACTGTACATACGGTTTTCTAATCTGCTTTTCCTTCTCATCAGCAAAGAGAGACATCTTTCAATGTCAGTGAGTACAGACCATCATCATTTTTGATGGTTGTATGTATAGCAATATTTTTTATGGATATGCCATCATTATTTAAATATTTCCCAACTGATAGGTTGCCTCTGTATTTTTATATCATAAGACACTTCATTTTTAAAATCTTGACCACATATCTTTACACACTTGGCTTCTCTCCCTAGGATATGCATTCCTTAAATATGAATTTCTAGATGAGTTAACTTCATTCTATATTCTGGCTCCTTTATTCTGGGTCATCTCTCAGCATTTGGAACCCAGTAGGTCCTCTGTAAATGCAGTTAACTAGCTGGGTTATAGGAACTTCTTGCACACAGCATGAGGATTGAAAAGAATCCTTTTCAAGTAACACTAGCCCCTCAAGAATGCATTTTACTTGCAGGTGGCTCCTTCCCCTTCACAGTTGGAAGAATCTCTCATGGATTCAGCATGCGTCCTGATCTGTGTGCACAAGACAATCCAACCAACCCAAAGAAATACCTTGGTTCCTTTTATACAGACTCCTTGGTTCATGATCCTCTGGCCCTCAAGCTGTTAACAGATGTCATAGGAAAGGTAAGCCAGAATCGCTATTCAAATAACCAGTTGCCTGGTCTCTCTCCATAAAAGGGGTATGGGGAAGAGGCATTAGAAGAAAAAAGAGGTACACTGAACTATGGAATTAGGTTGCTCACATGGGGTATTCTATCCAGAATCTCCTTCAACAGAGACCATGTGTCACCAGGAAACCATCATGGATGTGTGCCAGGGAAATCCCAGATAACCCACATGGCTGGTAGCTCCCCAGATAAGTTCCTCTTCCTACGGTCACCTGTGTAGCGATCCTAAGGAAGTGACATATAATGATGAGGTAAGCAGGAAAAAGCCACCAGTTTTGAAGTCAAATCCACCTTAATTAAAATCCTGGCTCCACTTCTTACGAATTAGGTAAAGTGTGACTCTGTCCGGTGGTGCGGTGGTAAAGAATCCTCATGCTAATTCAGGAAACATAAGAGATGTGGGTTCAGTCTCCCCAGAAGGTGGGCATGGCAACCCACTCCAATATTCTTGCCTGGAGAATCCCATGGAGAGAGGGATCTGGCAGGCTACAGTCCATGGGGTCACAGAGAGTCAGACATGACTGAAGCGACTTAGCATTCATGCACAGGACTCTAACTGTCCTCATCCACTAAATGAAGGGAACTGGAACATTAAAGGGAGGGGATGGCACTGGTCAGGGAGGCAAGGGAAGATGATGAAGGGTCTTAGGCACTATTTGAAATGTTTCTCTGGCCTTTGTTTTGAAAACAATTCTCTCGTTTGGCCAAAAAGATCAGCATGGTAGTGCTTTACATCTCACAAGAGAAAGTCCTCCCTCTGTTGTGGTCTGCTAGCAGCTCTCCTGTAATGGCTTTCACGTATTTGAAGACTGGCAATGTGGTACTTGGATTGAGAGTAGATTCCAAGGCATTTACAATCTTGTTTAGCAGAGGAAGAGGTCCACTATTTGAAAGCTGCAAGTAGTGTTCTACCTCCAGAATGGAGACTACATCTCACTTTAAAGCTGACTGTTTCTCTGGCTTGAGCAGCTCACTAGAATAAAAATGCTGAACATTCTGGTTTGGGAATAAATTACGTGACTGAGCGCTGTGTCTGGGCCTTCTGGTTTTGTGTTGCCCCTGCTGAAATGGAAACTTAGCTAGTTGTGACTTCTGATTATTACTGGCTTGGACAAAGGGGCTATGGGCAGGAGTATAAGTAGAAAACTACAAAAAGGAGAAACTGAAAGATACTGTGAGCTCTGAACTTCAGGCAACAGAGGACAGGGACTAGGAAAGTGATGTGGAACTGGGAAAAGGGTCATTCTCACTACCTCCCATCAAGCGTAGTATCCCTGGTATTCCTGACAATGGCAATTTCAGGAAAAAACACCCTCGGCAAATATTAATACAACAACCATCTTACAAGGAATATCATTAGCACCTTTAAACAGAATTCAGGGCAATATACATTGGCCAGGAGGTCACAGCAGAAGAGGAAGAACATGGAAAATGCCTTGTGGTAACCAGTGGATAGACTAGTTAGTAAGTACATCCCTTTTATGGACTCTTAGAAAAACTCAGAGGGAGCTTTGCAAAACTGCAAAGGTGCATTCAAACTGTGAAGACTGAGCCATAGTAATGTGGGCATCAAAAGCAAATGTGACCTCATTTTATGTGACTTCACATGCTGGTGAATCTAGGATACAGAGGCAGTATATATTAATAATTTAGGATTCTCTTTAAAATATTAATGTTTCTTCATTTTAGTTATAGTCACATTAGCAAAATCTTTCAAAAACAATCCCCAAACCAGAACAGCTAAGGAAAGTCCTAGCATGACAGCCAGTCTAGAAAGAAACTGTCCAAATTAGAGCTAGAGGAGAGAGGTTAGAGCTGTCGAGCTGTGGAGGGAGGTCCAGGACAGATAAAATGGAATGAATGGATTATTTGATGTGTTTGAATTTGAAACAATGATCACCAGGCATTCAACAGATATAGTTATGCATTAGGAACAAACAAGCTGTACGTATATAGAAAATACAGCAAATGAAACAAAGGAAATAACTCCAAGAAAATAAACATTCATGCAAAGACAGATAATCACTGTATACTACTTGACTCAACAGTGAACAATATTTATATTTCTAGTGTAAATATTAAGCATTAACTTAATTGAAAATTGTAATTTTACTAGGAAAATGGAGGAGAGAAGTTGGGGTAAGAAATTCTCCATGATCATAATGGGAAGTCAGTAAATACTCTCAAAAGCTAATAAATCAAGAAACAATATTATAATCTTATTATCTGGATCTGTGAGGGTGATTATCAGAAGATTCATGTTAAAAGGTAAAAGAGGCTGCTTTAAGCAACAAGAACTGAGAAAGTGGACCCAGGACTGTATTTTATAAGAAAGACATTAGTAATATTTGATTGTTTAACTATGTATTAAACATAGTTAAGAAAACCTTCTCTGGTTGTTCAGACAATAAAGAATCTGCCTGCAATGCAGGAGACCCAGGTTCGATTTCTGGGTTGGGAAGATCCCCTGGAGAAAGAAATGGCAACCCACTCCAGTATTCTTGCCTGGAAAATCCAATGGACAGAGGAGCCTGGCGGGCTACAGTCCAGCGGGTCGCAAAGAATAGGGTTGATAGATTTTGAGAGGTCTGTTATCCTCCCCTTATGATTGCATCATAATTTTGGCTAGATCCAGTGCTAAGCTGTTTGCTGCAAAAGAAATTGCCCCAACTCAGTGGATCAAAACAACAATAAACACTTATTATCTCATATGGTCTCTGTGTCTGGCATTTAGTAACAGCTGAGCAGTCTCAGAATTTCTCACAAGGTTGCAGGCAAGTTGTCAGTCAGAGCTGCAGTCACCTGAAGGCTCAATTGGGGATGAAGGGTTTATTTTCCAGGTGACTTTTATACATTACTGGCACATGGGTGCTGGACTTTGGCAAGAGGCCTCACTTCCTCCTCATCTGGGTCCCTCTAACTCTCCCTCTGGGTCCCTCTAACTCTCCCTCTGGGTCCCTCTAACTCTCCTTAAGTATCCTTGCAACATGGCACCTGAAGAATGAGTGATCTAAGAGAGAAATGGGTGTGGGACAGGAAAAGAGAGCGAGAGAGAGATGGAGTGTGTACCAGGCAGAAGCTGCCCTTTTATGACCTACTCTCAGAAGCAAGTCACTGAATCTGGCCCACATTCAAGGGGAGTGGAATTCGGCTCCACCTTTTGAAGGGAGGAGTATCAAAGAATCTGAAGACATATTTTAAAGCTACCACACTATACACTCTGGTGACAAAGTATTTATGAACTAAGTAATTCCTCCCAAATTGAAAATATCTTTAGTCCTCCCACAACTACCTCAAAGTCTCATCCATTTATAGCATAAGCTTAAAGTCTAGGATCTCAGCATTTAAAGTAACTTGTGGATGGTGCTCCTCATGTGGAGTTTCTCTCAATCTGAGACTACAGAGGTAACTCCTTTGCCAGCACATACTCAAACTATAAAATGGTGAGACAGGCAAAGGGTAGTTGCTTCAGACCCTCCATTCCAAAAGGGGAAAATCAGGAGATTTAGAAGAGTTACTAGTGACCAGCAAATCTGAAATCTATCAGGCACATGCTGACAATTCCTTGATTAGAACTCAGAGCACAGAATGATTCTATGAGTCATCCCTCCTTTTCCATGAAACGTAGCCCACTTTTGTGGCTGAATAGTTTCTACTTCATGAAGTAGAAAGAGTTTCTACTTCATGAAGAGCATGAAGACTGCTTCATGCTCTCCACAACTTTTGAGGCCCGAAGGCTTCATTTAGTTCTAGCTGTTCCTTTAAATCCAAGTTGGTGGTGTTTCTGCAAATAGAATTCTCTTTGCAGGTCTTTTATGAACCTTATTAGGCTTCAGGTGTGTGTGTGTTAGTCACTCAGTCATGTCTGATTCTTTGCAACCCCATGGACTATAGCCCACCAGGCTCCCCTGTCCATGCGAATATCCCAGCAGGAATACTGGAGTGGGTTGCCATTTCCTTTTCCAACATGAAGCTTCATACCATTGCGCAAAAGCCTTACCCACAAATTTCTGAGAAAAACCTTTCTCTACATTTTCTGCAAAGGCTGTTGAGGGACAACACTCTTAAGCTACCTAGAAGCCCTTATTGTCTGACGGTTTTTCTTTGAGGCACTGTCTTATCTCTTGAAGTCATAACAAACAGATTATAGTTATATCTTGGCTTCATTTTTAGACTATATCTTTCTGATTGTGCCATGCTCTTACCTTTGCTGGAAAGCCATCTCTAATTTTAGCATCATTTGTCATCAAAGGGGCTGAGAAATTTCAAACTCAACAATTCCTTTATTTATAATGGTGTTGGTTTAGTTGCTAAGTCATGTCTGACTCTTGCGACCCCATGGACTGTAGCCCGCCAGACTACTGTCCATAGGATTTTCCAGGCAAGAATACTGGAGTGGGTTGCCATTTCCTTCTCCAGGGGATCTTCCCAACCAGGGATCTCCTGCACTGCAGGCAGATTCTTTACTGACTGAGCTACCACTCCTTCCTTTAAGGAACTCCGGTTTGCATTTTACTATAGGAAGCAAGAAGCAGGCATGCAACACTTCCAACACTGTCTGGAAATGTCTTTGCAATGTCAGCCAGTTGAGTAAATATAATTTCTAATTTGCATATTACTGTTGGTAACAATATTGCTTTCTTTTTTTTTTTTTTTTTGCCACAACATAGAAAGGATATCCTTTCCTCTAGTTTCCAATAACATTTTCCTCATTCTCCCAAAGTCCTTGCTGTTAACTTTCTCACAAGTTATCATGCTTCTAATAACAGTCTTAACAAGAGTCTTCAGTCTTTTTACTATCTCAAGATCCTTACAACTTCCTCCGACCAATCAGTTCCAAAGCCCCTCCCACGTTTTTAAGTTTTCATTATGGCAACGGCCTACTTCCAGGTAGCAAAATCTGTATTAGTTATTTACTGCTACATACTACATTAACCTAAAACTTAGATTAGGTTT